TCCCAGCGGTTTCGTTTTCACGCCTCCCCCTCGCGCCGTCCGGCCTTCCATGTCCCTTGGTGCATTGTGGCTTCCAGTGCTGACCTCTGGTGTCCTCCTCCCCCCCCCCACCCCCGTCTTGATGCCCAGGGCACCGGTCTGAACTTCCGCTCGTCGCCTGTGCCGATTGCTTCGCTCCGGCCGCATGGCACCGACGAGGATGAGGACTCCCTGCGAGCCATCCTCCATGGAGCCCGGTCGAATGCGGGTCTCAACTTCAAGGGCGATCGACTGCATGCCATTGAGATGCGTTCGTTCATGCATGCGACCGGGTCCTCCGGGCAGTGCCTTCGTCGGAAGCAGTGTGACCCGCTGGGCGGGCACTCGGCCTGGGCCGCCAGCCGGCCTCTCGGCCCCGGCGCCAGCAAGCCCCAGTCCTTCGTCCTGATCAGCGCGGCTCTCGATACGAATGCCTTCTTCCAGGACCAGGCCTTTGGCGTGGGGTATGTCTCCCTGTTCTTCTGCCTGGCCCTCCAGGAGATGGCCTTCGTGTGTCCATTTTGCGGTGGCCTGCTTCTGACCTCTAAGCTCATCTCTTCGCCGGTTTACGCCCACACGCCCACACATGCGCACATGCACACACATGCACGCACACGCACACGCACACGCACACGCACACGCACACGCACACGCACACGCACACGCACACGCACACGCACACGCACACGCACACGCACACGCACAAAACACAACACAACACGCACACAACACGCACACGCACAAAACACAACACAACACGCACACAACACAACACAACACAACACAACACAACACAACACACTCCATCTTCTCCTCTCCCCCCCCTGTCGGGACCTGCACACAGGTCCGACATTACTGCCGCGTTGGGGGTCCTTGGCGCGGCGCACGCCTTTGGCGAGTATGTCCGCTCTGCTGGCATCGACACCAAGACATTCGAGAAGGACGTGCTCTTTGCGCTCTTCGACGCCGAGGCCTTTGCCCTGGCCGGGTCCTCGCGCTTTGCCCCCCCCCTCCCCCTCTCTTGCTCGCACTCTCATCGACCATGCGGTCGCCCAGCCGCCCTGGCCGGCATGCCGTCCGGCCGGCGATCCTTCTCCTGGCGAAAACCCTGTTGCTGGCCCTGCTGCTGGCCGGGCCGGCCCCCGCCCTGGGGGACCTCATCCGCGCGACCGGCTCCGGCGCCGGGGCCCCGCCGACCAAGGCCACCAGGGACATCCAGAAGAACCTCCACTCGGAGATCTACCAGGAGACCCTTCTGGATCCCTGCGTGCGGCTGCTCTCGGCCGAGGGCACCTTTGGCTGTCATGGTGTGTCGGCCGCCGCCCCCGCCCCCCCCCCCCCTGCCCCGCATCTCGGGGTGTCCGCTCGGCGGGCCCGTGCTCCAGACTCTAACACCCCCTGCCATTGCCCCGCCCCGTCCTTGCCTGTTGCCGGCTGGCAGCCCCCTCCAACCGGAATGGCGTCCTTTATGAGGCGAATTCCGTGGCCGACGTGGACCTCCTCCTGCAGGACCAGGACCTCGAGCGGGCCGGCCCCTTCGTGCCGATTCTACCGGTGAGCCTGTTCTCGGATTTGGCCATCTTCGAGCGCCTGGTGTCGTCGCCGCGTGTGGCCGGGATCCTGGTGCGCGGCGACTGCGCCGACACCCCGAATGCCCCTCTGTGCAAGGGGGCCCGCTCGACGG